CGAAGGTCTATTGGAAACTTTTCCGCCACTCTCTTCATCTTTATTTTCAATTTCCTCTCGTTCTCATCGCGGAAATGTGAAACAATTATCGTCATCATCAGAGGGAAAAGCATATAAAGCCTCAATATGAAAATGCTCCTCCACACTTCCTGCAAGTCCCTATCTACGGAGCTTATGCTACTGCACCTGAATTTTCTCTGCCGCTATTCAAGGATTCTTACGGCTTTCAGGAATTCGAGTGGTGAAAACAACTATTAATAAAGTGATAAGCGCAAGGAACTAAAGGACATTTCTATCGCCATAAGCTTCCCGACAGATTAGTTTCGGCGAACACTATCAAAAACATAGCGAGTGTGACATCAAGCTACTTGATCATCCTAGTGCGTCTCAAGCTGCTTAAAGGCAAGGTGAACATCGGGGGCTATCACATCCAAAACAAGTGACAGGGGCAACTAGTGAAAGGAATTGAGATGGTAGGCATACAAATCAAGGGTAAAATTGAAAAAATCTGAATGAGGGCCCGTTCAAGTGCTTTGCCCTTCAAAACGGTCTTAGGCACTCAAAAGAATCCATAAAATCAGATCACTCGAGGTATACTAAAACTTCGGTGATTATGCGAGCAATGCTACTAAGGGCAATTTTTTCTCTGAAAAATTCAGTGCGAAATATGCTTAAAAACCCTACTCAATATCGAAGCTCTCGTCCAGCACACCATCTTTGTGTAGCTGCTTTCTGGAAATCTCGAGAATTTTCTCGCCATTTTTCATGTAGCCGACTGCACCAATATGTCCGACACGAACCTAAAGACGTACACGATCTGAGCGATTCGCAAACTTAATAAATAAGTGTTCTTTTGAACTATAATTGTTTCAGATTTATTTGTTTTTTTTTTGATTATTTACAATGAAACTTTTGGAATCGTTGACAAGCGAGACCTCACATTCTCCACGTAGCAAAATGATGATTTCGTTAGGCTGTCGGAAGAGTCTATGGCCATTTGCTGATTTTTTTTCAAAATCACTTTCTTTTTTAACACAGTTAATTTACAATATGCCCTACCATAATTGTCAACATATTGCTTTTTAGCAGGTGACTTGCGAATGCCGTTATCTAGAAATACTGAGCTTTCAAGGCAAAAATCTCGAAGAAGTCTTTTCGAGTATGCAGGTCCGGATCATCTACATAGCTCTCATTCTTAGTTGATTTGCCAGCAACGAAAGAAGATGGGAGTCTGTTGGTGCTAGGTCTGCTGAACACAACATGCAAGACAGAACGTCCCATAAGGGGCTTGGAGACTTTTGCTGGACCTTCTTCAAATTCGTTGACAGCGTTGCCTGGATAAAGTAAACTTTTCAATGTTTTCCAAGCATAGTGCCGGCGGAACCCATCCATTTGCCCATATTATCGTTCAACAATAGCAGTGCAGTTCTTTGGTAGGAGCTGTCAGTGAACGAATCGCTTGGAGCTTCACCAATTCTGAAAGTTACCTCCAGGTTGCAGTGCTGGAATCGGCGCTGGAATCCTTGGTTCTACGCGTCTGGGCCACTGGCGCTTCCGGGTGTGGTTTACGTGAGGAACCCACTCTGCTACCACCAACAAAGTAGTCGGGTCAAACAAGATACAGACGGTAAATCAAAATGTTCATGCAAAATCTGAAGGCCTCTGAAGGCGGTTGTCACCAGATCACGAAATCTCCTTTTGCCATAATTTCTCTTCTTTCTAAAGAAGATATTGAGGGAAGGCGGTTGAATTGTTTTGCTTGAAAGTTTTGTTCACAACCCAGCATTCCTTGTGAAACATTCGCAACGCGAACTGCGGCGTTAAAACAGCAGTTAACAAACAAAACAAGTCAAAATTCATTGCTAAAGCTTTCAGCCTCGCGGTCATTGCCGATATCGGCTAACCGGCTCAACACGTTATACGTGTGAGTGCTGAAAGCTATGGTACGTATACCATGAAAAGCTGAGTTGGAATGAAATGGTGCCCCGGTAGCGTAACTGGTAGCGCACTTGCCCGGAAAGCGAGAGGTGCGGGTTCGAGTCCCGTCCTGGGGCGAAAGTTTTGTTCACAACCCAGCATTCTTGTGAAAAGTTCATCTATTCCATTTTTATGCTTCTCAATCGGAAAAGAACCACGCCAATTTCCGGTAGATGAGCCTGCGCCAATGTCACGCAAAAACACTTCCGCTGGTGTAGTGCACATGCGTACATGCAGGGTCAATCGTCCGTTGGACAGAGTCCAACGAGGGGTGGGGGGGTCGTATTTCGCGAGGTAGGGTTAATGTTACAGGAAGGGAAGTGATGATGCAGTTGGTTGGCGCGCTACCCCGACCCCCCCCCCTTAGAAAATGGAGTAGCGGAGGCAGAGGTGGAAAATAGGGAAAATGAAGGGAAAGTGGGAAATTTTACGGTTTCGTGGTAGATATATGCCCCCATGATGGCGATGGCGAGGGTGGTGAAGGGTTGACCCTGAGGGGGGGGTCGTATCGAGGCCCTCTAGAAGGGGAGGGGGGTCGTAAAATTTTCGAAATCGGTCCAACGTGACGGTTGACCCTGGTACATGTAGAGACAACCGTAACTCGCCCATAGGGTAATTCGATATGCTGATTACGAAAACGACATTCATTTTTAGCGGTGGCGCCATCTGGCGCCAGTTGGCGTCACCTTGTCACGACCCTTGTTTTCACCAAAATCGGTGTAAACTTCTGTATAGGGGTTATTTGGTGCCCTGATTACGAATATGACATTCGTTTTTGGCATTAACGTTGTTCAACGCATATTTCTCGGTTGGAGAGCGCAGACGAGCAGAAAATAGGCGCCAAATAGCGCCAGCGCCGAGAATGAATGTCATATTCGTAATCAGGACACCAAATAACCCCTATACGAAGTTTACACAGAAGTTTGGCGC